ATGTACCCAACAGTAGAAAATTCTTTAAGTGTTCAGAATAGGAAGGAGCTGGGTGAGTAGCTGCCCATCTACAACCTATTTGTTTAAAAAAATGTACATTTACATTTTTTACATTTATAATTTTTGTATAAAAAGTCATATTTTTAATGTAACAAATTACTTAAACTGTAAGATAAATAAAGTAAACAAAAAAAAAGCTGTACAACTTACCTCTGAGAGTTAGTAGAGAACATGCACTTATTTGCACTGAACAAAAATAAGTGCCTCGTTTTTGTGGCTACCTTATCCACAAGACCCCCAGCCTGACCGGCTGCTTTGTGACGTAGAGCCCCCCTGAGTTCATTAAAGGGTCTTCTGTGTGACTATAACCAGATGGGTCTGTTGCAGCAGCAGCATGCTGCACAACTCTGACAAAAACGCTAAGTAAATGGGACACAGTGTTCAAAGGTGAAAATCTATACTCTCAGATTCCCACTGCTGTAGGAGCCTAGTATTGATTAATGTATTCTGCTGAATTATGTCCATATTTTATTTGAGAGAAGCCTGAGTGTAGTTTGATGAATCAAGCTTTATTATGTTATAACGATGATATCAGTGGAAACTCAATAAATCAGCTCTGAGGAAGAAGAGAACGTACAAAATATGCCAAGAGTCAGGACAGTGATATAAAAGGAGGGACATCTATCTATCTATCTATCTATCTATCTATCTATCTATCTATCTATCTATCTATCTATCTATCTGTCTGTCTATCCTTGACTCCAGGTTTCTTTGGAGTGTTAAATGGTGCATTATGTCATCTGATGAGTCTTCCCTTGCTAGTTACCTATTGCTATCAGGCATCACAAACATACTAACACAACTTACTGCTATCAGATGCTCGAGCTTGTTGGCTATTTGATTTTACTTCCTCACTTTTTACTGAAATCTGGCAAAGATCACAGAAGTTTCCTTTTTTGTTTAAAGAGCTAACCCAGAGGTAGAGAGGCTCTATAAAAAGATCTGATCTCTCTC